AACTTGATCAAGTCCAATGAAGTAATCTAGTGCACCATTTAGGAGAAATGTTTATAGACTCCTGATAGGGAAATATTTGTCAGCATACAAGAATGCCAACCACCTGAAAAGATTAATACATCTAATATTAAAATTAGTAGCGTCTTAAAAAATCAAAATGCACTATTAAGAAAGTAAAAGGAATATGAATCAGTTACTTTTCTGTCACTGTGATAAAACACCATGGCCAAGGCAATTCTGGAAGAAAGAGTTGGTTTTGGCTTAGGGCTAACAGTCCATCATGGAAGCATGGTAGCAAGCTGCAGGCATGGTGGCAGGAGCAGAAGCTGAGAGCTCACATCTTTAACTGCTAGCATGAAACAGAGAGAACTGAAAGCAGGCAAGATTTGATACTCTCAAAGCCCACTTGCTGTGACACACTTCCTCTGGGAAGGCCACACCTCCTAAACATCCCCAAATACCACCACCAACTGGGGACCGAGTATTCAAATGCCTGAGCTTATGGGAGAGATTTCTCAAAGCACTAAAGCATGTTAGTTTTTCATTTTTGAAAGGCAAAATAACTGACATAAGATAGTAAAGGAAGAAGCATTTATTTTGGCTCAGTTTCATAGGTTGCAGTCTACAGTCAACTTCTCTTCATTGTGTTTGGGCTGCTGTGAATCAGAACTGTTGGTGTAAGTTTCTGTCCCACCAGTCAGTTCTGTCCAACTAGCTGGCTCCCAAATAACCACACAGAGACTTATTATTAATTATAAATGCTCAGTCAATAACTTAGGCTTGCTACTTGTTACTAACTAGCTCTTACATCTTAAATTAACCCATATTTCTTATCTATGCTCTACTGTGTGGTGGTATCTTTTTTCAACAAGGCACATTCATCTCCTGTTTCCTCTGCACCTGGCTGGCAACTCTGACTTTCTTCTTCCCAGCATTCTCCCAGTCTGGCTCTTCCTCCTAACTTCTTCCTACCTAGCTATTGGACAGTCAGCTCTTTATTAAACCAACACGAGCAATATGTATTCACAATGTACAAAAGGATTATGCCACAGCCCAGAACTCCATGCAAGGAGAGCTATTGAAGCAAAGCTGTTCGTAACATAGTAGCTAGGAAGGAGAAAGAGAGAGAGAATGTCGGAGGCAAGGGACGTTTTCCCAGGGTACTCTCCAAGGACACACTTCCCTCAGATAGGCTATACCTTCCACAGTTCCACCACCTATGAGCAACATATTTAAATTTAAACTCATCAGTGGATTAATCATGATTCATAGCCTGTCAACACTGTGTGTCTCAGAAACCAACTTCTGGTACAGGAGTTTTTGGGGAAACACGAATATCTACACTATAACACCTGGAAAGTCTCAAGTGGGAAGAAACAACTAAAAATAGCAAAAGGAAAGGACACTGTGAAAAAGACACCTTACAAAACGGGATTTCCAAATATCCATAAACATATAAAAATATGCTCAGCCAATCTGAGGAATTGGGGGAAAAAACAAGGTAAGGTACATCTGAGAATGTCATGTGTTGGTGAAGATGCAGAGTAATGGGAGCACCCAGGCACTGTGGGCAGTTGGAGTGTAACTTGACACCATTGTGATGGTATTATGTGCTAGCTTGACCATATCCTTATAGGAATGGTAATTCCTCATCTCGTTCCTAGGCAACAGAATTATATCCACCTGTGTTGCTTTGCTTATAACTGACTCACACTGAAACAGCCCAATGTCCATTAGCCATAAAACGTATAAATAAATATGGTCTATTCATAAATACCCTAACAAAATGAAGGAACTGAAACATATTGTGTGACTCACTGAGGAGACAGAAGAATGCCTGTTCACTCCAAATAGGACATTGATGAACCAAAGAAACAATTCTATTCTATTCAGTTTGGCAAAGCAATGAGTTTATTTGGTTACTTATAGGGGTGTGGGTGAGGGGTTGTCTACAGGAGTGTGGTCACTAGCCCACAGGGAGTATAGGTCATCTATAGGAGCACAGGTGAGGGGTTACTTACAGGAGTGTGGGTTGCTCTTGGGCAACTGCATCACCACAAAATTCATTTACCCCAGTCTAGTTGATGACTCACAAAAGTTCCATCACGAGAGTCAACCCTGATCAACATTTACCTCCTATATAGCGTAGCCCCTTCATCCCCCGACCATGAGCAAATAGGGCAGGATTGAGTGCAGTTAGGGGAGAAGGGAATAGTGGCTGGAATCTCAGGTGAGGGTCTCATTGCCCCCTCCTTCCCCAGGGGTTCTTAATAGGCCTGATCAAATGTCAATGGCCATGTCATTTCCTAGAGAACAGAGTTCCAATACACATACACAATGTAGTCAAATCACAATAGAGTAAAATGATACCATCTAGAAAAGTAAACAAGAGTACAGAGTATGTGATTTTTGTTTATGTCATGTTAAAAGGGAAACAAACAAATCCTACAAAACTAACCAAAGGTTTAAGGATACAGGTGGTTAGAAATGCAACAGAAATATGGAGAGAAACAAGTCAAACAGCTGGTCATTCTAGTCATGGAAGGTGACTGGATTATGAGGTCTGTGACAGACACACGAGGAACTGCTTCACGCCCCTGTACACGGTGACAAGCAGAGTTTACAGACACCAGGATAAGTGGCTAATCATTTCGTAATGAAAGACCCCCGAAGGGAGACCCTCACTCAAATCTCGGGAATAGCGCGCACCCAGTGAGGCACCAAGACCGGACTTGCTGCAATCACACGAGGAAGTTTATTGAAAAAGGAATTGAATGAGATCTCAGGCCAGCATGCTGGGGTCAAGGCTCAGAGGAGTTCGACCCTGACCCAAACTTGTGACAAGCTTATAAAGGCAAAAACCACAAAGGAGGGGGAGGACTAGGGAGGAAACAGGGGAAGCCCAAAGTTACACATTTACTCATCAGTTAAACTATGTGGACACACCTGGGGCGTTTGAACTTTCCACAGAGGTCGTTGGGACATCCTGTGGTTACTCCAGGAACTGTTTTTTTCTCATGAGAGTTCCGGGAGCGGCCACCTGCAGGGGACGGGAGCCCCCAAGGTGACGAGCCCATGTTCTTATAGACAGCTAGTAATTTTTTACTCTTCATTCCTCACTTCTTCTTGTAAATAGCTCTAATCTTAGAGCGATCCCTCAGTTTCTTGTAGTATCTGGTACTGCTGTCTTAATACCATTACCTGGACAGCACTTATTCTTTCTTTTATAAATGCCACCAGCCTATTGAGAATACATGGCCCAAAGGTTAGGATCAGCATCAAAATGATTAAAGGCCCGGCCAAGGTGGAGACCA